GTTAATTTACATTATTAATTTGACCAGTTTTTTGATAGAAACGAAACGACACAATTTTAAAATAAATCATGTTGCACCTTATTCATTAAAGAAAAAACAAACTCCTATGAGTGCATGATCATATGCAATAGTTTAAGCGTAGGTTTATATGTTTCTCGTGAAAATCTTAATTACTTAACTACTAAGAAATAATAATGGCCCTATTTTACGATTGACCTTAAAAAATTTAAAGGGTCGTACATATATTACGTAGGCTAACTTCGAAATCGGAAGAGGGTCAGACGAGGTCAGACTCTTCAACACCGCTCTTCCCATTTGAATCCCCTAGGGGATTGTACAATATTCAGTATTCCATTTCGATCCCATATGCTGGGGACTCAACGGGTAATTAATAAACTTATTTTCTTTTTATTCCCCTCTAAAAATAATAAAACAACCTTACTTCTACACTCCTTGTAAACCAAAAACAAAATGTTGATTCAATATCAAATATAGTGTAATTCATTTAAACATTACCATCATGTAATATTTGTCTTTAGGTAGTAGAATTTGAACACCGTGGTTTCCACACACGAGGGGGTAATCTAAAAGGCCCGGGGTACCAGGGATTTCCTTCCTAAGGTACACTGGTACACCTACCGGTGGTATCTGAGAGAATTTCCGCACAGAAAAAAAAAGGGGAAACCGGAGTGAAATATTGAGTTTTGAAAAATTTGATTTTTTTTTGTTCAAGTGTTGGAGTGACGATTTTGCGCAAGATGACTGGCAGGAGCTGGATGCGAAAAGCGCAAAATCGATCTAAGTGGCGTGCAATGGAAGAGGACTATGTCCAGCAGTGGACTACGATAGGCTGATGATGATGATGTACAACTCCCTGAGGGATTAACCCAGGGGATTCAAGTGGAAAGAGGGTTTAACACTGGTGGTGCAACCTTTATAAAGTATTGCCGTACTTGCTGATAATGGTGTTTTCATAAGCAACTGCTTTCGGATGGAGGCGCGACCTGTTTGGCGCATTTCTGAGCTTAAAATTTAACCTGAAGGTCTACCTACTACAGACCTCTTCTACGCTGAAATGTATAGACTCGAAATCGACTAAGATCTTAGATGGTAAGTTTGAATTTGATATGACCAAAGTTCAGTTAGTAGAACTAGAGAAATTTCCTCAACAGGAAAGAGAGGAAACCTAGAGAATGCAGGTTCCTTAATTTTCATGCAATTAAAGGCAAATTACAAATCTTGAAAAAAGAGTTATGAAAAATAAAAACGTTTCAAATTTCTTTTGAACCCCATTGTGCTGAAACCATTCAATACACAACATAACTTATGCTTTGACTTGGTCTTAAGCGCTAAAAGTTTCTATTTCACTGACATAATATCTGTACGACCCTTTAACAGCTACTTAAAGCAAAAATTAAAAAAAAATCTAGTTCCTATTTAGTAAAATATATATCAACGAATTAAGAAACTCGATTTCGTCTAATTTCCGATATAAATTATTTGGTATATATATAATCAACCGTTGCATATGTTTAGCCAAACAAAAAATCTAAAACTAATTTTTAATAAACTGAAATATATTAACTCTTTTGTCGGTGGTCCAAGTTTCTACATATCTACAAATTTATTTTTAATATACATAATAAACTACACCAGAGCCACATTAGAGTGAGAATCTAACACTTACTCTCGTACAAATGTATAAAATGCGGTTCACACATAAAATGTCCTTTACACTGTCTGATGAACTTTTTGCATATATTTCAAATTGTGATTCTCAGTGTAATACCATTTTAACTTCTAAATGCTGTTGTTAATTATGTTACTATTAGTGTTTTTCTTTTTTTTTCTTTTAAAAAGACAACGCCCGCATTAGGAATAAATCCTGTGTCGCGGGGACTTTACAAACATACATGAAACGGACACAAAGGACACCCAGACTCAGAACAACAATTTGTGGATCACACAAAGTGTCGTCCCATGTGGGGTTTGAACCCACAACACTCGGCGCAGTAGGAAGCGGCGTGGCGACCGCTTAAACCACTACGCCATCCGTGCAGTCAAATTGTTTGTATTATTCTATTAGTTTTTTACTATTAGTGTCTGTTTTTTTGTATGTTGTTGGTTTTTGTTGTTCATTGTCATTGTTGTTGATTTTTGTTGCTATTCATCGTCACTGTTGTCAGTTGTTGTTGTTTGTTCTTAGTTATGGTGACTTATTGTTTTTTTAATATTGTTAGTTTGTTTTTTTTATACTTCTAGTAATGTGGCTCATACATTACTATACCTCTGTCTTCTATAATACACTCTGTGCTGTTCAAACCCACAATCTCTGGAATGACTGTAAGCCATTACACTAGCTACGCTGTCATAATGTATTGTTTAGTAAACAAAACTTGTTGGTTGAACAAATTTTGTCATAATACATCAATATTTCTGACCAACAGATCAATGCAATTGACCATTAGCTTCTCCCTTAAAACCCCGAAAAAGAGGGTTACCATTATAAGATGTTATCACTAACGCATCATCTTGGACTTATATTTAGCATCACTAACCTACAGAAAATAATACATCTAAAATATACTATCACAAAAATGCCCGGCATTTAGAAGGAAATAATGAAAATGTGATTTGAACCTTATTTAGACTGTTAATAAAAACTGTATTACTAAATAACCCCTAGAATACATTTATTCATCGAACATACAATAAGACACCACTAAGCTAACAGTTTATATGAATTGAATTAAAAATATCACCCGTTAACTGTGGAAAAGCAATGCTTAAGCACAAATAGCTCGACCGGAGTTATCCCACGGTCTCACAGAAAACCGGTTAGTTGGTTTTTACCGAGTTAATGATGTTACCGGACTCTCAAATCTAATGCTTTATGTGCTGCCTTGACTTCATCCTTAGCATATTGGTTGTCAGGAATCAGCAAAGGTACCTTGAGGTGGTGGACTAGCACCAGTTTTATATATTTTATGACAACTATGGTGAATTTTAATGTTTAAAAGTTGCTATAACCATTGAAGTGGGTACAAACCTTTATCATTACACAACTTGTAAATAGTTGCAGTCGATATTTATTAGACTGTTTGTTTAATGGGTCTTACAGTCATTCTCTCAGTTCCTTTCATTCATACTTATTCAACTTGTAATAGAACAGAGCTGTTGGTACACGGGACTAAGCACTTTCGCCAATGTCTATCTTATTTGATTAGAAAATATATTTACACAACTTATCTTTTTATTCTATTGTCGGATGTAATAACTGATAAGTGTTAGGACAGATAAGTTATATGCAATAAAAAATATATACCACAATAACAGTGATAGGCTGAAGATAATGATGACTACTACTATTGAGATTTTGAATTAATGACAAAATTATAAGAATAAAACACAACTGTTTCTTGTGGTATATATCATATTTTGTTTATGTAATTGAGGTTTTTTAATTATTTCAGAACGTATGATACATATTTGTGGTATTCCTGTTAACCCTTCTAGCTAAGCCGAATGAGTTAATAGTGGGATCAAATAGGTAGTGCAATGAGTGTGGATAGTTAATAGCAAGTCCGATGCTTCAGCCTTTACGTTACGAACGCTTTTAATATATATTTTTTTAACTTTTACTATGGTACGCGCCTCAGATATATATACCGGGACTTAGTGGCTATAATAATAACAAGGTACGTTTATTTTTTAGTTATTAGACTTTTTTTTAAATATTAGTTTTGGATGAGAGAGGGACTGGTACCTACAACACAAGTTTAATCTTACCTTGGGTACCAGAGCCTGACTATACTGTGTAATTAAGTTAAGAAAATCCTGTTATATTAGAAAGTTTGTACCTCATTTGACGTAATAAATATTATTATTATATTATATTATTTTAATCGAATTTTTCATTGGTGTTGGCAGAGCTCGGCGGTGCCTCCGTGAAGTGCAAGCTTTGATTACTACCTGCAAGTGCGGGTACTGTACTACAGTAGAACCGATACAGTACAGTACAGAAGAACTAGTACAGTTTGGTAGAACCAGTATAGTACAGTACTATGTGTCGAAGTACACAATGTCTTTTGTGTTATTATTTTATTTATTTTAAACTTAATGCACATATTGTACAAAGGTGGACTTAATGCCATTAGGCCTTCTCTCCCAGTCAACCTTCAGGTGATGTAGAAATATGATGCGGTAGGTGTAAATTATTTTCGCAACAAGTCCTAGTTTATATATCCAAGCTTATTTAAATATTCGAAATAAAGGCCGAATCTTCTAATACATGTCTTTAAGTTGCCAATTTAAGACATTCTGGTATGTAAACCAATCAAAATAATCAAGTCAAGAATTTTCAAAGAAAGAAAACTAGAATTCGAAACTAAGTTCTGTGATAAATTTTTTAAGCCTCAATTCTTATTTATTTAGTCATTTTTATAATAAATTGAGGTCATATGATATGAATACAGATCCTTTGTTTTGGGTATTGCACAATATTTTATATACAATTAAAATCAAATGTAGTTTTTGGAGTTTTCGACTACTATACCTTTCGTTTATTGTTTATACTTTTGAAGTATTTTTAAAGAGCGACTTTGTGAGTCTCTTCTAAGGGTGTTAGCGCATAATGTCCTTTATCAAAAGTTTCTTTTACCTAATCTTCTTTTCTATAAATGTTAATTTTTCAAAAACAATCAAATCATTTTCTAAAAGACATTTAGAGAAATGAAGATTTAGATTAAAATATATTTTTAAAATAGGACATTCTAAGGACATTTGGGGAAAAGGACATTATGCACCAGAAACTCTTTGAAGTCCGAGAAATATTTATGTACAAAACCACGTGTTTTTGCTAATATCAATTCAATAAAGCGAGAGTTTTTACATGAGACATTTGAGATTGAAAAATCTATACTTGTCATCCCCAATAAATTGTCTGAAGACGATCCTCCTTGCTTTTTATGTTAGAGGGGGCAGACGAGCAAACATTTTATTTACATAATGATAGCCCTTAGCACGTTACTAACTTTGCAGTTACAGACAGGACATCTTTTGGATTTAGCCCAAACTTTAACCGCACATTTATAACAACAACATATGTGGGCAATACGACCGTGAACGAAAACTCCAGATTTAGGCTCTGACACACAGACGACACACAAATCTTTAGTATCCAATTTCTCAATTAGCGTATTAGCAATTACTTTTTTAGTTATCTTAACATCTACATCTTCGATAGTAATGGCTGGATCGCTGACCGTCTTAACAAGAGGTCGTACGATTTCAACAGACTTAGAGTCGTCTGATGACAAGTCGGTTTCCGAGTCCGTGTGAGATACCCGCCTACGTTTAGTGTTACGCTGCGGGTAATCAGAACCACGCTTTTTACACCTAATTACTGATCTCTCTATTTTAGTATTGGATGTTCCCTCACCAGGATTGTACTGCGTCTCCTGGCTGTGGGGCGAGTCCACGCCGGAGTCCTGTGACAGAGTGCGCGGGATCGCGTCCGACTCCTGTGAGTGAGTGCGTGGTATCCCAGAGTCCTGTGATAAACTGCTTGGGATTTCCTCTAGTTCCTGTGATAAACTATTCGGAATTTCCTCTAGTTCCTGTGAGAGAGTTCGTGGTATTTCGTCTATCGTGGGTGAATCGTTTTGTGTTTTCGTTTCTCGGTTCTTTTTGCGTTTAGGCCTCGGTGGAAAGAAGTTTTTGCGTACCTGGAACACATATTGCAATATGAAAGTTTCGATAGTATATTGGTGATGATAGATTTAATTAATAATAATAGTAACTTGACACACACACACACGACAGTCTGATCACAAACTACATAGAGAACAGTATTTTAATTGTGAATCTAGTCTTAAACCTAATTTTAAGTAGAGATTTTATTATTAAACGTCACTTAAAACGAGATTCATCGATCCTGACTCAAGTGAGTGATAAATTATTTTAGAACGATGGTTAGGGCGAAATATTTACTCAGGTATAGATTTTGACAGATGTGTTCTTTGTTTATATGAGATAATCTGAAACTAGTCTCAAGCGGTGATTTCTAGGATATTGTTTTTCGATGATTTGTTTCTGAATAATTTACTTCACGTTATTTACGAAAGAATTAATTGTCATCTATATTATATATAATTTCCACGTATATAGACACTCATCACGATATCTCTGGAACCGTTAGAGCTAAAGACTTGAAATTTGGTAGGAATATTCTTTTCACCGAGTAGAGGTCAGCTAAGAACGGATTTTAAGAAATTAAAAAAAAAATGTTAATAGCAAAACAACGTTTGCAGGGTCAGCTAGTATATTATAATCAATTTACTTTAATTGATATTAAAATTCACTGAAATTTACATTTTATACACACAATACTTGTTTAAATTAAAATCACCACAACCTTTTGTTTTATGTTCATCATCATCAACAGCCTTTAATAATCCACTGCTGGACATAGGCCTCTCCTCAGAAAGGAGGCTTTGGCCTACTATACCGTTCTGGCCAGAGGGGTTGGTAAAAGATTTGTGTCAAGTTTCGCTTATCTTAGTATTGCTATTGTCTTTCGTAGTTTGCACCCTTAGTCGGCTCTTACGACACCACGGGATGTATAGGGGTGGTGACACTCTGTATTCTTAATCCGTCACCACACACCACAGCTGCGTAATACGGAATGATAATGTCAATCATGCGGATACGTAATTGAGAACAGACTGTAAGTTCAAATCAAAAAGTTGTTTCAACTGAGTAAAACTTAAAACGCGTTCTATAATAAGATCAAAACTGAACTTAAAACTAGTTTCATACAATCAGAGTTCAACTGATACTTGAGACGTCTTTTAAAATACGGGCCAGAGCCACTACTTTGTTACTACAAATGATTGTGCTCATCACACAATTTATTCTGGGAATTGAACACACGACCTCTGGCATACTAGCCAGGGTCACTCACCACTAGACTGACAGGTTAAAGTATTACCTGGAAACACTTCTGACAGTATCGATATAGCGGGTTGTTGTTCTCAGCGTGACACTGCACGCAGTTCCAGTAGTCGATCAGGTCCATCTCGCTGTCATCTGTCTCGTATGTCTCCGTTTGCTCCGAGTCGGCGAACTGAAGTTCACCGTCATCACCAACGGACACTTCTATCACTTTCGTTGATATTATTTCGTTCTGAAATTGTTAATAATAGAATCTATATTAATACGGGAAAATAATACGGTAGTCCAGAGAAGTCAGATTAATTCTTTCATATGAAGCATTCAAATAATGAGTTGTGACGTCCTTAAGGTCGGCAAAACGCACTTGTTGAACCATCAGGTGACAGTGGCTCGAGCCCCTATACTAAAAAATGACGTCACACTTAACTATTAAGGTATTAGAATAAAAAACCGTATATATTTCTTCATACTTAGTTTTCACATAACCATAGACAACTGTCCTATGCTCTATTACCATTTTAAGGAAATTGCGGGGACGAAAATTTTTTGATATTTGAAGTGTTCCAAATATTACATTTTATTTTCATTTTAACAGGTTTTTAAGACAAGGCAACACTTGTAATAATACGTTAGAGAGAGAGAGAGAAAAGTTCTTACATCGCTCTGCGCGGAGGTGTCCCCGTCTACGGGGAGTTTGTCCTCGTCCTCGGACTCCGTAACGGGCTCGTACTCCACGTCGCTGTCGTCACTCGCGCCCAGCGGCAGGGCCTCCGTGTCGCTCGTGTCTCGCGCATAATCTACAACACACACACTGTTACCACACTGAACACGGGCCACCCTCGAACCATTATTTTCACACGCCGAGATGAGCGCCACTGGAAATAAGTCACCTCGATTCTCTATTGGACATGATTCTTTTTTCAAATTTGTCTATGCTGTTTTTTTTTTTTTTTACTTTAGAATTTCGAATCGGTTCAGTTTTTTTTGTTACTTTTTTATTTAACTGTTTTAAATCACAGCATATTTTTTTCACTTCAAGTACCTTTTTTATTCTTTTACCATCTTTTTAAAATATTTTTCTTGTTATTGTCATTTCGTATTTTCCCATTTGTTCGTACTCTTTTGTTTCCTTTTTTTTATCAATGTTTACTTAAATTTAGAACTTAAGCTACTCATAAACATACATGCTGATATGGCTGTGATAAATAGTCGATTTTATAACGATTATCGTCAAAATATAGCATACATACGTGATATGGCTCACATAGCGGACAAAATTTCGCGTTATCCTTATTTCGCTGAGATAGAATTATATGGTATTACGAGAAATGATTAATGAACTGCCCACGTATGAACGTTTTAAATTAATTTGTGATATTACAGTAGAAGTATTCACAGTTCAATTTTTTTTTTCATCTGTATTGTATTATATTCTTTATATTATGTTTTCTTTTGTATTTGATTTAGGTCATTATTAATATGAACATCATCATATGAACAATATTTCCACCGTCTTAAGTCGACAGCGTCATAGTTCTGAGTCAAACTACACGTACTGTCATATTATGACTGGACGAGAATGATTAACAGAGGATGTTATAGATTTCTCGATGTTAACAAAAAATATTATATCATAGGCCAAATCCATATCTCTTTGACCAAACATTCAATAACGAAATGTATTTAATGTTTGTATAGATTCTTAATACTTTTAAAAACAACTTACTAAGATTTGACCCATCAACTCTGAACATCTGAAAGCAAACACGCTCCAAACTGAACAACCAAACTATCAGAAAACACTCCTGATTAATAATTTATTAGGGTTATCTCTAGGTATTAGAGATAAACAAAGCAAAGTATTTATGAATAAGTAACCAAAGCCAAATGACTGAGACTGCACATTACCGATTTGACCAATTTCCAAGAATTAGAGTTGTGAAAAAACTATACGCAACAAAAATCAACTAAATCATTTGCTTTTCTAAAAAAAAATGTGTAACATTTGACTAGCTTTTGGTGTAGTGACTAGTAACTGAAACAAAGGTTGTGGATTGGACTCCCACCCGGGTCAAATCGTTGTGTGAAAAGTACAAAAATCTCTTCTATATTTGGGTGTTATGGAAGTATGTTTAGCAGCCTGGTTACCATAGAACAAGCTCTGCCTAGTTTGGGATCAGACAGTCGTGTGTGAGTTGTGTCAAGTTATTTGGTACAGAGATAGTTAAGTCTGGAATAGCAAATAGGCTAGGCTACTTTTTATCTCGAAAAAATGTTTTTTAAGTCAGTAAAAGAACAATGTATTTAACGGTAATAGTTCAATTAAATTGTTAGTTATGTCAGGTATGTACAAATACAAAGAAACGACGTTATTTTTTAATGTACCGGAATTCATGTTCACACATCAAACGGCTGACACCTTTTACATTAAACAAATTAAGGAGTAATGAAATTTCGAAGCCGCTGTTAAATTAAAATGACTTCTTCAACAGTATAGAGAGCCAGAATTACAATTTATCTCTTCATATTAATAAAAAGAAAAAAGGTGTTTTTTTTTATCTCTGGGTTTCACGAAACCTGACTAAATCTCAAACACAACCGTTGGCAATCCCACCCATCATTCGTATGACATTGTGAATAAAAAACCTGCAAATTAGTAGCATTAAAAGCACGAACACAACTATTATACCACAGCCAATAGTAACACTCAACAAAATCAACTAAAACTAAAACATTGAATAAATAAAAACATATTTCAAATTAGGGTTGTCACAGTGCAAGAAAAAACGTGCAGTAATATTAAAATATAAACTTGGTGCTCTGTTGGGAGCTTTTATGAGCTTGATGGAATGTTTTATGGTGTGTGAAGGTGGGGTGGGGTGTATTAATCCCATGTAGTTTTTTTTTTACTTTTTGTGGCGCCTCGTTGATTCCTCTAATATTACAAATGCGAATATGTTTGTTTGTGGATAATACTGTTTTTCAGGCGGGAAAAGCGCCTCATAACTTTTCGGGTACAAGTTTTCAGAGGTGCAGAAAGGAACCTTTTATGAATATTTTCACGGGGTCGATCTGTTACGCGTCCGTAGTAATATTTCCATTCATACAATAAATAAATGTTTATTTTGGGAAAGGAAAACATGTATATTTTGATACCTCCATTTACAATATCATATCATCGTATCAATCGATAATTACGTCCAGTATTTACAATCAATAAAGAGATAGGACTAATCCCTCAAACACGCCTACCACTGTAACTCCTGTTCACCAGGATCAACAGCAGTTATCCACGAACACACCAAGTTATGACACTTGTGAAGTCCCAGGAAAAAATAACTAGTCTTGGCAACCGCAACGAAATTAATCAGAAGAAAATTGGAGGAGTTGGAAATTTTAAAAATATTATATTATTCTTAAATATTTAAACACAACAAACATGTATTGGAATATGCGTGTGTGTTATATGCCTAAAAAGCGCTGTTATAAAGGCAAAGCCGGGGTTAAGGCTAGTAAGACTAGTTGACGATTATTTTTGGGTATAATATGCAAAAAACACATTTTTTTACCTATTCTCAAATATTTATTACTGATGCATATAATTTTTGTATTAAGATGTACGTGAATATGTAAATAAAATGTGAGTAATGTAAAAATTAGGGCAAAAAACCTTCTTCCTTTTACCTTCTTCTAACTTACCTCAAATTCCGTCATTTATTAACCGGTTGCAAAATTATTTGAAAGGGTATAGTTCTCATGTGGTTCTGTTAAAATTTAAAGAAAAAAAAACCCTAATAAAGGTGAAAATTGAGAATGCAGTTTATTACCATTTATCACGACCTAGGCGCATTAAAATCGGTTATACTTTCATAAGAGTTACATATTCTTGTGTAAGTTTAAATACCGTAAGGCTACGTTTAGAAATTGATTGAATTAACTCGAATGACTATTTTAAAACACCAATTTTATTTCCTAAATAAGTTTTATTTTGATTTAATTTTTTTAATTATTTTTTGTGGTCACCGTCTCTAAGGCGAAGAAAGTTTTAAGCGTGTCTGAATGAATCAAAGCAGAAAACGATGAAACCAAAACCCAATGTACCGTGAACCCCAATTTGAAATATGTATGACATAATATAAATATCTAATTCTAAGTCTACATTTGCGTCTACAATTAAAACTACGAGATCAATAGAATATGATACTAAATACATCAATCTAAAATAGCCAATAATATCACAGGCAGGCAAATTTAGACCGTAAACGATGAGCAACAGAATTCACTATTGAATCCTCAAATAACGATACTATGAATTATGTAAATGCACGGGAATCAACATGACCACCTGATAGATATTACATACCTTTGAATTGGTTACAGACTCGCTTCGTGAGCTAAGCTCAGAGAATTCAGAGGTACGTAAAACGTGATTGTTTTAATTCCTGTACTAATTAATAATGAAATATCATGAAATGCGAAAGTTTAAAAGTAGAGATGTGCCGACCATGATTAGCCGACTAGTCGGTTCAAGTCGATCACAGTTTCGGAAATATGTGGCATATTCCGAGACACTTCGTTTACAGCTAATTGGCTAGAAAGCCGCAACCGCCGCAGTGACTAAGCGAGCGTGTCGGAACATGTTTTAGTTACTTCACTTTCAGTCAGGTCAGAGCGTGTTTTTATGTAAAACTAAAGATTTATTATTCTTTAAAGTAAAAGAGCTCTATTGAAATTTAATCTTGTAAAAAAGAGTCTCGTTTACGGTTTTTTTTTTGACGAATTGAGGAATACATGCAAATTAAGAAACTCGATAGTTGGCGCTCCTTGCCGAATAATCGCCGAGTAGTCAGCGACTACAAAAATAGCCAGATAGTCGGGTTTACTGACTAGACTCTAACTAGTCGGTACATCTCTAGAATTAACCTGATTCGTATTCCATGCCTTTGAATTGTCTGACGTTTGGAACAGGTTGCATTGGCCGAAATGTACGCCTGTTTCCACAGTACAGGCGTACTCAAGCGTCAAACAATTCTAAGGTATTTTAATCACGTTTTTCATGAATGCAAAAATTTATTAAAAGTAAGTTTTAACGACTGACAATTGAACAGGAAACATAAAACAGGCAGAGAAGACAGGAACTTTCCTGTCTAGTTTGCCTCTCTAATTTTTCCTGTTACAATGCCTATCTCGTGTTCCTGGAAGTTAAAACTCAAGTCCAACTTGGGACTCGAGTTTTAACTTGTCTTTAATCACGGAAAATACAAAAAATCAACTTATTAAACAGTTTACACATACAAACATTCCTTTCTTCCTTCCATACATTGTACACATTAATAACTTAATCTACAGTTAAAATTTTGATCGTGAGGATCATCATCATAGTCTTCGGGTCCTGGGATCCTGACCGACAACCATGGCTCCTGGGTAGACCATCAGGGGTACCGGTTCGTACGGATCTGACAATCACCATTAATAAAATATTAATATTTTCATACTAACATCTTGCCGTGAATTTTGTCTTTTTTTTATTACATATCAAATCAGATCCAGGATTATGTTAAGTAAGATAATCAAGGAAAAAAGGTAATTAAAGCTTGAAATATAACCGCGTCATACTAAAGCTTTAGAATTGGTATCAGGCTCGAAGGTTTCGAACCCAATACCTCAGTGGCCATTACAAATGCTTCACGAGACATTCCGACGAACAATTATTCGTATTTTATTACCTGCAAGACTCCGCTAACCAAAATACGCCTTGTATAATAAACGCAAATATTTTTTGTTAGATTATTTCTTAGTATTTTTGTTATATTATTTCGTAGATTTAGGTAGATATTTACTGATATATAATCTTCTATTGGTCTTTAAAACTATTTTAACATAATAACTTTTCAGAATAGAACCAAACTTTGTTATTTTTCTTCTTACCAGTCTTAAAACATGTTATTTTAGCTGTATACTGACAAAAGTACATACAGACACTTATATCATCGCCTTTGATCTGCTCTTAAGCTGCTAAAGATAAACATTTCACAGAACCTGACTATACTTATGATGAGTCACACACGAGTCCATAAAACCGTGTACATAATTGATTAGACTGTAATTTCAAGATTTAATAATAAAAAAAAGAGTAAGTACCTATATCGAGTGAGCCAAAATAAATGAATAACCAAATATATATTAGAAAATGTACATATATATAACATTTAGAATTTTTCATCGAAGTTTTCGATCCCAATTCTTTTCTATTATCAATTTTCTAATTATCTGAATGTTTATTACATAATAGATAAACAATTATAAAGTAGTGTTAGAAAATCACAATAATAAATTACATAATACTTAAATAAAATACTAATAACTACGTACCAGAATAAACTTAAAGTTCTTAATTAGACTAAGTCATTTTTTATAAATTAAATGTGAATAAGACTTCTTACATCAATCATCATCACATCAACAGCCTTTAATAATTCACTGCTGGACATAGGCCTCTCCTTAGAAAGGAGGTTTTGGCCTAATATACCACGCTGGCCAGACGGGTTGGTAAAGGGTTTGTGTCAAGTTTTCCTTTTCTCTGCAGTGCTGTTGTCCTGCGGAGTTTGCTGCCTTAGTCGGCTTTTACGACACCCGCGGGATGAATATTATCGACACTCTGTATTCTTAATCCGTCACCACACGGACTAAGACTTCTTAAGTTACCTTATATATCTGTGTACGACTGTACCACTCAAGCGTCATGAAAAGTCATGTTCTTACATGAACGCATTGAATTTCTAAAATTGGACATGTTCAAAATGTTCGCGCCAAAAAAACCTGTGTCTTTGAACTCAAAATTAGTAATCTAAGATGCATGTTCAGACATGTCCAACAAACCGTACTATCTCAATTGCTGTGCAGTTCAGTGGAAACGGTCTTGGTCTGATGAATACGCGATAAATGAAGTTTTTTATTTATTTACATTTGAAATGACAAAGACGGTTTTGTAAAATACGAAAGGGGGAAGTCCCTGAATGTAAAATTGAGTTATTTTTATCTTAACAGGAAATGGGTGAGAATATAGAAGTTTGTTTGTTCCGAGTAATGTTCTAAACGGCTGGAGCGATTTTAAAAATATTTTACTAACAGGAAGCTGTCTATATAGGGAGTAACTTAGGGTATTTTCCCTGTCAGAAAAAAGGTCGCGGGTACCAGTTAGTAATTAATAAAGATGACAGTTATAACGAAACGACTAATCGAAATTATTTAATAATATACAATGTCACATATATTTCATACTAGCACTAGCTAAACTTATTTAAATAGGGACATACCAGAAGTCTGGACACATCGTTAGTATTTAGGCATTTTAAATTATGTTAATAGCACTTCATTTGTATTATTGATAACAAAAGCATTACTAAGATATGCTCATATCTGAATAACATAATAATGTATATAAACGACTTTGAAACGCAACATGTTTCAACAAGTCTACTGCGAACAGCAAAGTCATTGCGTGACGAGTAAATCAGTGGTTTACAAGCGGAAATAATTTGGTTTTTGAGGTAAATAATGAGCCATCCATAAATTACGTCACACGAATTTTAGGACTTTTTAACCCCTCCCCTGTCCTTGTCACATTTTTAGAACCCCCTCCCCTCTGATGTGACGTCACACATTTTTCAATTTTATGCGTGTATTTAAAAAAAAAAAAATATACATCAAGTTCGTAAATTTTTAAAGTTTTTTATTCACATAAATTTCTGGTTTTAATATTTTGAATTTTAACATGTCACGTTAAAAAGCTTTTGACCCCCCCACCCTGCCTATTGTCTTGTAATAAAAATCTTCTTTTCTTTTTCTATTTTTTTTTTGCTTAAATGCTTTCTGTGTTGGATAGAGTATGAATTGAGGAAGAAGATATGCTATATACCATTGCATTCTAACCCTTAGAAGCGGATCTGTAACATGACCTATCATAAATGCAGGGGAAACTGCAGGCGATGGCTAGTGAAAAATCAGTATAAGAAAACAGATATATCAACTATAGCAGATAATTTGAAAGCATACCACTGTCTTAGAGCTTAGAGAGCAGTTTAAATGCTTGTAATCAATAGATTGATGAAATTCAACATAATTCTTAATTATGATAATCAGTAATGGCACTAATTATGACTGATGAAGCTGTCAATAACCATTTCAGCTTCATACCTTGACTTTGAATTAGGTATGATAATTTATAGTGGGGCATAACATAGCTTAAGATTAATTTAAGTGCAGTTTAAAGGTATTATGTAATTTAAGTATTATGATTTCTTATGAAGGTCATGTAATCTATACAATAGTGATAATATAGTTGTTCGAAAACTCTCTAAACTAAACTAAAAATCACTAAAAAATTGTTTAGTCTTGTCAAACAACATCTTATATTCTGAAAATGTGGTACTTGAGAGGACTAAACAAATTTTTGGTAATATTTAGTTTAGATTAGAGAGTTTTTGAACAACAGAATTGGCATCAAAGAATCTTTCTTTAAATATTCTTTTATTCAAACTTACTTGGATTTTTTTTTGCCATATTTTGTTTTGTTTTTGATCTTGATGTGTCCCATTTTAAAAGGAAATGTGTTTATAATTTTTTTTATTAGATTAAATTAAACTTTTCAGAATATGTTAATGTCATACTAAAAAAATTATAATTTTAGTAATGCATAGATTTCATTTCATTTGATAAGTTTTATCGCCTGGATTAAAAAGACATAGTTAATTGTGATACCAAACATATTTAATGAAATAATATTAACATTTTATAAGATTTATAAGATTAATGATATGAAGAAAAAAGCATTTAATGAAAAAAACTGCAAACACCACATTCGGGTAGGATTTGTTTTATCATTTCATAATTTAAGAACAATTTATTTAGAATTATAACTAATATTGCTTCTTTAATTTATTAATAAGACTGCCATTTTCAAAGGCAAAAAATTCAACAAATTATTGTGTGTACATTAACATATTAAGTACTAAAAATCAATTTTCTTTAATTGATCATGACACACATGCATATACAACCCCATAACATCACAGACACACACATACACAGGTCATACATTATTTAAATTAAATTAAAACTTACCAGTTTCTTTTCCTTGAATGCTGAACACAGTCTCTGTAGAACACCGTCTGCTCCATGAATGATCTGTAATATATAATATAAATTTGATATATCTCTCACATTGGTGTCTGATCCTAAATAAGGGAGAGCCATTACTATGGTAACTAGACTGCTGATAAATATACTTTTATGTTTCTAAATACACACATATTATAGATAAATTAAACCCAGACATGTGACAAATGGTTGTGCTCATCACACAATTACTTGTGCTGGGCAGCTAATCATATAACACAAATAAACAGGCCAATCAAATTAATCAGTCTCCCTCTTTATTGAAGTTTGATAAACAAAAGATGACTTAAGATAAACTAACAAAAAATAACAATATTTTCATATTTATTTGTACAAAAAGTGTGAAACTTTTCACTTTCTAAATACTTATTATAGATCATGTAATACAATAATGTTACCATGTGTCATTGGACCTTGTGAGTATTATTTTCATAATATCACTACTAGTCTACTATATAGACTCAAATAAAATCTTTTATAACCAAAATAAGAAAATAAACAGTAAAATATGTTACTGTTAGGATGAGCCCAAACAGAAAATTGTAAAATAATGATGTTTATATTTAAAAAAACTTAAAACTAAACAAAAATGATGGCTGTTTTTGGGCACTAAAACTAAGTTTAGTCTTATGCTTACTAGCTGTGGAATTAAAAAGTTTATTTGAAGAATTTTATCTAAATGTCAAATTAACCAAAGCTTTGTTTACAAATATTTAGAATAATTGGTTATTTCAATTTAAACTGAGAATATTAATCCACTGAAACAATATTCTGAGTAACACTATCTAATGAACTAACAAATTTATCAAAATTCGTTATAAATGAATAAGTTTATAACAAGTTCTTTAAATGCATATATGAGGTAAAACAAAAAAAAGGCATAACTCCAGTTGGACAACTAGATTTAAGTTAATTAACTTCACAACTCCAAATGTGGCAGACTTTAATAACAACAATTACAAATTTCGCGCCAATCTAAAAAAAAAACACTTATTATCTTCACACTACACGTATATGTTCACTAATTACAAAGTAAATCACCTTGAACTGACAACGTTAACATTTCTTCCAAAACTACACCAAAGCTAAACTTTAACACGAAATAATTGATATGACGACTGTTTCGGTGCGCTTATGGGCAGTGAATGACCCAGAACGCCATTTATATGTGCGAAGTAACAATCTTGAAACAACATATGACGACCCCACGCACTGGCCTATAGGTATTGTTATCACTGATTAAATCTCATTCTAAACCAACAGAGAACACAATACACGTTTATTGGTCGTACTTAGTTTCCATTAATATAACTTTTTCAAGTAGTTCCAACGCTCACCTGAAGAGAATGTTGTTGCTGTTGTGTTCATATTTTGTCGACTTCGTTATATTATCTCTATGTTCGTTTGGTACGCGCTGCCAGCCCGGCCAGGCGCTGCGCTTACAGTGTTGCCAGGACTTTCAAAATTTCATTTCATTAAGAATAGTGAAACATTCCTTGCACATTTTCAGCGTTATAAACATTACAATGTTAGAAATAAATAACTTATGAAGAAAGGTGTTCATGTATCTCATTAACCACAAAAATTAAAAAAAAAACAGAATATTCAAAGATCCCTTTCAAACATTTAGAACCAAATATATTCATATAAAGTAAATCAGTAAATCCACTGTTTTAAAGTTCATATTTTATTATAGTTAGTAAATCTAGAAAAGGGGAGTTGAAGTTTTTTTTGCCTTGTAGGCTAATCACTAATTGTCTCTAGAATTTAAAGTTTGAACCGATGAAGACGTTAGTCATTGAGAAATCGAGTAAACTTTAACTTATATTAGTATTTCTTAAATTGAATATAATGTGATAGTATACCTACTTAAGTTAGGCCCTCTCCGAAAACTCTGTCTTCTATAGCCACAACAAGTTACCTTACATAAATGCCTTCAATTTAGGAGTCACAACTACTAATTTCTACTAACTGACAACTGTTCAATAGTATATACCGATTGTATGCGTTCTAGACAGTGACGGATTCAGGCAAACTTGTCACAAGCTGCCCTTAAGCTTGTGACAAGTTTGCCTGAATCCGTCACTGTAGCTTTAGTGTTTAGTTTAGCTTTAGTTTAGTGTACAATAGCTTTAGTTGGGCAGGCACTAAACCCTTTTTGAATGCAGTAATCTATCGACTATATCTGTAGTAATATTTTGTTCCTATCCCCTTGCCAATCAAATTTTAAACACCCACCGCAAAACAATAGTTGTCTAAATGCCTAAAAAACTTTGGAAGTTTAGTTTTATTTCTTGCCGGCTTTTGTTAAAATAAATTGTCATTTTTCTGAATTTTGTTATGTGAAATAATATTAAATTTCTGTGATTTTGCCCTAATCCGTGACCAGAAATGATAAACTCATTAACCCCTTGAATCCCGCGGACATGAATTCACGCCAACGAAAAAGTACCGTTGATTCCCGCGACATGAATTCATGTCCTAGTGTCGCGCGTCAAATAGTATCGGTTTTTATGACATTACGATTTCTTTTTGACTTTGTCAACTCGACTAACTGATGCATAGAAGAACAATCTTGCAATTAACACTTTCAATTCACTATTTGTAATAGAAAACAAAGACGATATTTGACATTTCATTTGCCGGCAATTCGTGGAGAGTTGTGTGTAAAAGACGCGTGAGATTTTGAGCGAATTCCTATAATGTATACATGCATTTTTTTTTCTGTTTAGTAAAGAGTATATTTATAACAACGTAAAAAAGTATAAAAACTATACTAAAACTCTAATGTATGTCATCATAAAACAGATTTATTGTCAACAAAGCCGTTTTTTTACATTACTTCGAAACAAAAGGCCGTAAAAAACTAAATAAACATTTAAATGTTATTGTTTTCATTTAGTCTTATTGATCATCTCACTAGCTTTTGAGAACAATAACGAGACTGTACTTACAACATTAACAAAACCTTGAAATACGGTCTCAAGTGCAACGGCGCGCTGATGCGCCAATTACGTTAACGAGCGCGGGACTTAGCGAAAACGCGCTTTTGAGACGCCCGGTACCTCAAGGGTTAAGTGCTGAGCCGATTATTCGCCAAATGACACGTACTAGAGATGTGTACTGAAATAAGCAGGTATTCGTAAAGGGCCCACATGTGTGCATATAAGTGATCGTGACTTGGTGAATTCGACCCCGAGTACTCTTCTCTCGGCGAGTCCTCACATATTTGTCTCGGTTCCACACTAAAGACTTGAATGTTCCTACCTGTATTATATCTGTAACAACTGTTGGTGAACCTTAAATAAATAAATAAATAAAAAAATAAAGCAAATCATGGTTACGTCTTTACAAGGAACTCCTTAAACGAAAATAATAGGTAAAACTTAGTTTACATTCTTCTAGGTATTATTTTGTTATCATAATCCAGATCCCAAAATTTCATATCATGAGCATACCTGGGTATAAACTGTTTAGCAAACATCTCCTATTTCAACTACTTTGGACTTTTACCATAACTTGTAACAAAGTATACCTAAAAACCAAATCAGAATGATTACAACCACATAAAAGTCAATGGCAAATTTTGCATGTACCAATACGTTAATCCTAAGTAGAAAACAGATTAGAAACTTTATGGACTACGATAGAGTACTTCATGGTCCTGAATTTCATACCAACATTGTTTTCTAATCATACATCTATTGTAGAAAATTTAGGATGTAAATAAGTTCAGATAATCTTAAACCACCCTTTTTTTTATTAAACTATTGTGCCGTGTAAACATAGTAATTCAAATGCTTTAAGAAGCATTTTTCTATTATAGCCCAGCCAAATAGTGTTTTTCATGATTGAGCCGGAAATTCAAATGGGGTATTACATTTTATTTTTACACCGTAATGTTTTATTTCCTAGTAGCAACACTCACTTGTTACCAGTTTCCTTTTCCATGTGGCATGGTGTCGGCGTAAGGTGAGTTTGTCAATCTTGTGAAATATATTTCATTTTATTGAGTAATTTTACATTGAATTGTTATAAGATAATACTAATTGTTGGTGTTAACGATAAATTACAACAAACATTCATTAATTCGTGCGGGATATTCGATATTTGTGTAAATCTAAAACACGTGCAAACATCAGTGACTAGCCTTTGCGAAGTTATCAAGGTAAACTTCAATCGTGTTCTTATAAACGAAGCCCCTTAACCTCATGTGACCACATGTAGTAATCGGGGTTTTAGTTATTGCAGTTATTTTAAGAAAAACAAACACTTATCGCAAGAGGTTAGTTTGTCAAGAAACTATTTGACTGTGAACATTTTGTTGTAGTTGCCGTATAAGCAACCACAATGCCGCAGAACGAATACATTGAGCGTCATCAAAAGCTTTACGGTAGGAGGCTCGATTATGAAGAGAGAAAAAGAAAGCGAGAGGCTCGTGAGCCTCACAAACGTGCTGAAAAGGCGCGCAAATTGCGAGGTATCAAGGCAAAGATCTATAATAAAGAGCGCCGAAATGAAAAGATTCAAATGAAAAAGAAAATCAAAGCTCATGAAGAGAAAAATGTTAAACAAAACACAGAGAAAGTTGCCGAGGGCGCCTTGCCTGTATATCTCCTTGACAGAGATGTACAATCCCGTGCTAAAGTGTTATCTAACATGATCAAACAAAAACGCAAAGAAAAGGCTGGCAAATGGGACGTGCCTATACCAAAAGTTAGAGCACAGGCCGACGGTGAGGTATTCAAAGTGTTGAAGTCTGGCAAAACTAAACGTAAGGCCTGGAAGCGAATGGTCACTAAGGTTACATTTGTTGGGGAAAACTTCACCCGTAAGCCTCCTAAGTTTGAGAGGTTCATCAGACCTATGGCTTTACGCTTTAAAAAGGCTCATGTCACACATCCTGAACTCAAAGCAACATTCTGCTTACCAATCATTGGTGTCAAGAAAAATCCAAGTTCACAAATGTATACTAGTTTAGGAGTTATTACTAAGGGTACAGTACTGGAGGTGAACATATCTGAACTTGGTTTAGTAACACAGGCTGGTAAAGTGGTGTGGGGGAAATATGCACAAGTTACGAACAATCCTGAGAATGATGGCTGTATAAATGCTGTACTTTTGGTATAATTAATAGCGTAATGTCAAAATATTGTTGTCTGTGACAAAAATAATTTTGTTGATTGTGAGAACAGATATTTGGGATTGTATTAACTTATGCCACCAATAAATAATGTGAAGAAATGTAAATTATTTTATTACGCACCCATTTTTAGTTTAGCTTGTTGTAACTCAGTTGTGCTCGCAGATTGTTATGATGCTACACAATCTGTGATTCTTGATTTTTAATTGTGAAATACATGATTCATTCTGTAATGTCACATACATTGTTATATTGTACATACAATGTTATTTCTGTGTATAACTAGTTTTAACATTTGTTATTCTTAATGCCCACATTCTAGCCGATGTTGTTTTCCAATTAGGCTAAAATTTTGCCTCAAAAATTTATCTTAACTATGTAAAGATGAGTATCAAGATAACTTTATGAAAGTAATTAATAGTGAACTATGGATTTCACGGTTTAATATCAGAACACAATAATTAAATTTAACATTTCATTTCTTAGTTGCCTAAAATTAGGTACAGGTTGATTGAAGGCTATTTTACTGATTTTTTTTAGTTATTTTCTAAGAAACATGTCCATGCGACAAATTGTGCTCAACTCTGACAGTTAGCCTTTTTTACTAGGTTATTATTCAGACATTTAAAAAATGTCTCTTCTAGTAGCCCTAAGGAGATTATTATTGATGATCATCAATCATCATCAACAGCCTATACTAGTCCACTGCTGGACATAGGCCTCTCCTTAGAAAGGAGGTTTTGGCCTACTATACCACGCTGGCCAGACAGGTTGGTATAGGGTTTGTTTCAAGTTTTCCTTCTCTTTGCAGTGCTGTTGTCCTGCTTAGTTTGCTCCCTTAGTCGGCTCTTACGACACCCACGGGATTAATAGGGGTGGTAACACTCCGTATTCTTAATCCGTCACCACATGGACCATTTCTTTATTATGTTAGATTATTAGTAACAAAACCTATCTTACGGTTACGAGATATAAATATAATGTTACCTATTGTATTCTTATTATATTATTGATGATAATGTAAATAAAATCGTACAATAAGGTGCAAAAATAGTATTTCATGTTCTGTTGTATGCAGCATGAAATTATTAGTACTTTTTATGAAACAATATTTAGTTTATTCAAATTCCAGAACAATTTTTTTTTTCTTAATGTTAAATTTCTGTAATATCTGTTGTCTAGGTGAGTCAAGATGCAGATTTTCGTTAAGACCCTGACGGGCAAGACCATCACTCTTGAGGTCGAGCCATCTGATACCATCGAAAATGTCAAGGCCAAGATCCAAGACAAGGAGGGCATCCCCCCAGACCAGCAGAGGTAAGTCTTACGCCTGCTATGGCACCAACATTATTGCTGCTTGTACCGATGGGTTTAAGGCATCACTTCCCCAACAGGGCTAAGCCTAGGATTTTTTTGAGAAATTAACCAAAAGTTTTAAAGTAAGTAGTGTCTTGTAGACAAAGTATGAACAATAACTTCCGATCGTTGATGATATTTTTGGCAATTAAGTGTTTAAATTGACAGAATATAGCAAGGGAACTGCATTAGGAAACATTTGGATTAAACTTGCAGAGTACTCGAAGTTATGTTTAAAAGTCAACATGTATTGGCTGTAATGATGAAATTATATCATCATTTTTATGTATAACTAAAAAACATATTGTTTCATAGATTGATCTTCGCTGGTAAACAACTGGAAGATGGCCGCACACTCTCGGATTACAATATTCAGAAGGAGTCCACCTTGCACCTGGTGCTGCGCCTGCGTGGTGGCGCTAAGAAGCGCAAGAAGAAGAATTACTCCACTCCCAAGAAGATCAAGCACAAGAAGAAGAAGGTTAAACTAGCGGTGCTTAGATTCTACAAAGTAAGTGGCATTTTAAAAATATTATTAACTGCTTACCAAAGTAAGCCTTTTACAAATCTCTAACTTATTCAAGTTTAGATCCTTTATCACACTAATTATAGTTTTAATCATAAAAAGAACAGAGATTGTCTTCAATTTTTTTTATTATTTTTATTCATCATCAACAGCCTATAACAGTCCACTGCTGGACATAGGCCTCTCCTTAGAAAGGAGGTTTTAGCCTACTATACCACGCTGGCCAGACAGGTTGGTACAGGTTTGTTTCCAGTTTTTCCTTCTCTTTGCAGTGCTGTTGTCCTGCGTAATTTGCTCACTTAGTCGGCTCTTACGACACCCACAGGGATGAATAGTGACATTCCGTATTCTTAATTCGTCACACACCAATTATTTTCATTAGGTGCTGATAAATAATTTAGGCCCTGGATTTCGTGAGACCAAATCAATATTGCTAACAGTATCAAAAATTATTTAAATTCATATTGCAAAGAAGGTACAAAATACAGCTCATTTTTGATATTTTGGTATTAATCCTTTAATTTATTTGTGAATTAAATCAATTTTACAAAATGCATCCCAACTGATAGTCATATGCTCTTTTGCATAATTGCCAAATAGTCATCTTATGTAATACTGACTAGTTGTATTTGCATATGGATTCATTTTGATTGTAAAGGCTTTTGAACAGAAAAAAATCAATGCAATTCCTATAGTTTATATGTAAAATTTCCATGGTATGCTTCTGTTTACATTAGGATTCTAGGAATTTACCATAAATACTTGACATAGTAAATGTGATCCAAGTTGTTGTTAGATCATTTCAGTTATTGAGTAATCTTTACTCTGTCATAACATAACCTTTAGTACAAACCCAAACTTGAATGAAACGAGTCTTAACAAGTTTGTGTGTATAAGGAAAATACGAAAGCACTTAATGGACACTAAATAAAAGAGCTATTTAAAGAACCCTCCCAGGAATTACATAAAAGCATGGACAGGTCTGGACATGCGCGAGAATGCGGAGACCGATAAATATGTGCATCAAGGTGACTGTATAATGCAAATGTAAGTCAGGACATTGGCCAGGACATGTTTGAACGTGTTAGCTGACTTGACTCATAGGGGACGTTAGAAATTTACATGCTTTGTTTATTTTTGCGATGCTGTCACAGCATCAATTTATACGGTATTTTGTAGATTATTATGTTATGTTTTGGTAACGCATAAAACTCTAGTATAGAAACATTAACAGGTTGAATCGAGACATTAATTTGAATGCTTTACAAACTAAAAGAATAATTAATTCATTATTTTAAAAATGTTAGTCTAACACATTTTTAAAATTGACAAATTTCGAGTTTTCGGAATAAAAAAAAATAACGAATTTTTTTTATTACTGCAAACATTTTTGATTACATTAACTTTAAAATGGAGACATATGATTTTACCTATTTAGGGCCCCATCATACAAGTTTGTCTCATCATATACACGTAAATGTCGATGTGAACTGAAAACAGATGCTCAATGAAAGAGTATTTTTCCATAGACACTAGTACATACTGAATATAATTTAATTAAGACAGACAGTCACGTGATTTAAGATGTGACAAAAAAGATTTTGTGAACCTTTTGTTTGAATGCACTATTAATGTTATGTTCAGGTGGACGAGAACGGCAAGATCCACCGCCTTCGGCGCGAGTGCACGGGCGAGCAGTGCGGCGCTGGCGTGTTCATGGCCGTGATGGAGGACCGCCACTACTGTGGCAAGTGCCACAGTACTATGGTCTTCAAGGACGACGACAAATAAACATAAGTTTTAGCTGTAAGACCAAGATCACCTCAGACTGCTGTGTATGATGGATTTATAATAAATCTTGACACAGTGTCCGAAGTAATGCTTTAGTTTTTTTTTATTAGTCCAATTTTATTTTACCCATACAACCAATATTTACATTCTGTATTTTACCTTTTTTTCTGTGAAGTACAGCCAACAGTAGAGAATAAAGTAAAGTGCTGTGTGGTGGCAGCAGGTGTAATTAAAGATTGATCATCAATCGGAGTACTTTTTAAATTCCAGGGGTAAGTATTACCATCTGAATAACAATACGTAGTGTCAACGTGGCATATAAAGCTTTTAACTAGTTTCTATTATTATAACGAGGACAGCTTTTGGAAATCTACCCACAAAATGGTATCAGGCACTTCTAAGGTAAGTCTACTGAAATAAAGAAATTGAAACTACAACTGTATTTTTATTACAAAATGAAACTTCAGATAATTAAAATATTTATTCAATACTGAGAATAGAATTGTCTAAATTACAGTAACCAACAACTTTTTGTGCATGTTACATTCTGTTATAGTAAGTTCTCCATTACCTTACAACTCTATAACATACGAAGCGGGCCTCGTAAAACAGCCAAAAGGTCAATTTTCTTAATAAAAGTTCGGTCACAATTCAGTTCCGATTATAACTGGATCTCACTACTGCCGCAAAAGGTATTTTCGTAGTAATTTTTTAATATCAACGTTGACTGTTATATAATATCGTATTGTGACCGAATGTTGAATCGGTTATCTGCTAGTTTTAGAGTGCGTTTCTACTGACGCGGAGAGGAACTGACCGTGAATTGGCCAATCACAATGCTCGAAATCTCCACTCCGCATCAGTGGAAACAATGTAAACATTGGAAACAGTGTGGAGCGGAGCGGACTTTCTAACAAAACAGATAAACACGCGGCCCCGAGCCGAATAGAGCGTCGAGCCATTTTCATCACAAATTTTCATTTAGGATTGTTTATTGCATAATTGTGTGCGTTACCCCGTGTGCGTTACCCCAGCAAAATAATGTCGAAAATGGTCATTTAAACTTTATAGATAATTAGTTGCTCCCCTTCTGTAATTGTTAAGCACATTTTTAAATTTGTTTCACTTAAACTTTTTTAGTTATTTCAAAAAAACATTTCCTGCTGGAGTAACGTTTGAAACGTTACCGCAGCCAGACATTTTCTTTTTTAATTGTAATATTGAAATAAATTTTAGCTAAATAATTAGTTATCTGGACTAGGTAAATGTTACAACTTATTTGGTATTTGTATTTTCTTCGGTTGCGAAGTTATTCGAAATCCTGCTGGAGTAACGTTTGTGGGTTTGCTGGATCTCTGAAACGGGTAAGCGGATTGTAACCATCTTTTGTACATAACTTCTTAAGGATTAGTTTTAATTTGTTCGACAATAAAATAACAAAAATAATGGACCGTTTAAAAATTATTTAGGTAAGTATGAAAACACTTAAATACGTCCTAACACTTTAAATAAGACCTCTTAAGACTTACTTGAAACGTTATTCTATTGCTTGTAACTACCTTCAAATGTATACGAATTTTCGTAAGAAAACTGTAAGTGACTAAAAAGTTATGATGAAATGTAGCTCTCCACGTTCACGATCACAATGTGTGCGGCCTTTTTTGTGTGCGTTACCCCAGCAAAATAATGTCGAAAATGGTCATTTAAACTTTATAGATAATTAGGTGTGCGTTACCCCAGCAAAATAATGTCGAAAATGGTCATTTAAACGTTATAGATAATTAGTTGCTCCCCTTCTGTAATTGTTAAGCACATTTTTAAATTTGTTTCACTTAAACTTTTTTAGTTATTTCAAAAAAACATTTCCTGCTGGGGTAACGTTTGAAACGTTACCGCAGCCAGACATTTTCTTTTTTAATTGTAATATTGAAATAAATTTTAGCTAAATAATTAGTTATCTGGACTAGGTAAATGTTACAACTTATTTGGTATTTGTATTTTCTTCGGCTGCGAAGTTATTCGAAATCCTGCTGGAGTAACGTTTGTGGGTTTGCTGGATCTCTGAAACGGGTAAGCGGATTGTTACCATCTTTTGTACATAACTTCTTAAGGATTAGTTTTAATTTGTTCGACAATAAAATAACAAAAATAATTGACAGTTTAAAAATTATTTAGGTAAGTATGAAAACACTTCAATACGTCCTAACACTTTAAATAAGACCTCTAAAGACTTACTTGAAACGTTATTCTATTGCTTGTAACTACCTTCAAATGTATACGAATTTTCGTAGGAATACTGTAAGTGACTAAAAAGTTATGATGAAATGTAGCTCTCCACGTTCACGATCAAAATGTATGCGGCCTTTTTTGGCCACCGATAAACCTGTGTGTGGATATATAAACTGAATGTTATGCCAATAATTAGTTGTTTAGTTCAGTTGTCTACCTGTAGAATTTCAGCGTCGTACATATAATAATTTACGAAATAATTAAATAAAAGTCATTAGAAGGTGCAAGTCCGTGGTAATCCGACCATGTTTAGGTGGTTACAATAAAGCGATCACCCAGTACATTGCGCTGTCTTTTAAAATGTTTAGTGTAATACACCTTACGATTTCGGTACAGTTGCGTACAGTGTTGAATACATTCAATATTTATTCATTATTATTACCTATTATTTATTTTGTTTTTTTCCCTAATTGATCTTACGCACTAGTTTCTTTACTTAAAATTTATTTAGTCTTTTTTACTACCGGAGCTACAATCAACAGAAAATCTGCACTGGTCCGCTAAAATTATAAATATGTAGATACATGTATGAACGATTCACCTGACTGCAATAAAACTAAAATTTAAACCAATAAGAAATCGTTTCATTTCTTTGATTTTTTTTTGTAAAGAAATAACACTAAAGTAATTGTATTTTATTTTGGGGTGTATAGAGCTTAGACTTGAATGCATCAAAATATTTAAAGCAACAAGTTATCTACAATAAGTTAAAATAGACCGAATAGTAGAAGAATACAGTTATAAATTAGAATGCATCAACATTGCATCGCCCAACAGCCGTATACCTCGTAAGAGTAGGTAATATTTTTCTGTGGTCTATACCTAGAACCGAGAATTATCTATACCTATGTACCTACCGTTAAGCGTTGAGCCAGTTACTGTTGATTTCTGTTAAAAACGAACAGTTGTTGAATGATATTTTGATATAATAACGGTAATTTAATTTATCGAGTGAAAGTGATACATTTTTATAGATAAAATTATTGGTCAGATAATATTTGTCAATCAAGAATCGCTGATAATACATCCTTCGCTAGAACGCGGGAGGGGAGGGGCGAAGGGATACTTCATTGTTTGCAATTTGCATCTAGTGCACTAAACTTGACCCTTAGGCAGATAATATACGTGTTGTAAAGTACGTGTGCGCTTCCGCTTTCTATTTTTGCAAATATTTATCGTATTCTTGAGAGTTCTTCAATATGTGTGTACCTAATTACTAATAATAGGCATTAATGCTAATTCGATTCAATTTAAGTAATTGTCAATTCTTGTCTTAGGATATTAATTACTAATGCTAATATTGAAATTTCGTTCAGGGTGAACAAATTAAAAACGATCATAGGTACGACCATCTTTTAGGTAGACAACGATCATCTTTTAGGTAGGTATATCACTTATTACTAATTTACTAAACTACTACTACTAAACTACTAAACATTATTACAGAAATAATGCAATACAGAGTTTGTTCGCGATATGCTAGCCTAAGTCGATTCATCACTTAAAAAAATCCCCATCTATTCACAAAATACCTATTTACAACGCATACGTTACACTCTTCAAAACTTATCATTTCATTTCATATTTCTTAAATTACCTATACCTACCCTAAAATTAAACTTCAATTAACAAATACTACGCAGGTACCAATTCTATGAACAACTATAAACAATTCACCTAAACATTACGAGAAAACAAAAGCATTCAAAATAATACCTAATCTCCCGGCTGATTACTAATTATGCAATAAACAATCCTAAATAAAAAATATTTAAAAAACATGTAGTTTTTTGTAACACTTATGTACATATCCGTAGTAAACTTACAAATAATATCCTACATATTTTAAAAGCCAGCACAATGTACTGGGTGATCGCTTTTTTGTAACCACCTAAACATGGTCGGGTTACCACGGTCTTGCACCTTCTAATGACTTTTATTTAATTATCTCGTAAATTATTATATGTACTACGCTGAAATTTTACAGGTAGACAACTGAACTAAACAACTAATTATTGGCATAACATTCAGTTTATATATCCACACACAGGTTTATCGGTGGCCAAAAAAGGCCGCACACATTGTGATCGTGAACGTGGAGAGCTACATTTCATCATAACTTTTTAGTCACTTACAGTATTCTTACGAAAATTCGTATACATTTGAAGGTAGTTACAAGCAATAGAATAACGTTTCAAGTAAGTCTTAAGAGGTCTTATTTAAAGTGTTAGGACGTATTTAAGTGTTTTCATACTTACCTAAATAATTTTTAAACGGTCCATTATTTTTGTTATCTTATTGTCGAACAAATTAAAACTAATCCTTAAGAAGTTATGTACAAAAGATGGTTACAATCCGCTTACCCGTTTCAGAGATCCAGCAAACCCACAAACGTTACTCCAGCAGGATTTCGAATAACTTCGCAACCGAAGAAAATACAAATACCAAATAAGTTGTAACATTTACCTAGTCCAGATAACTAATTATTTAGCTAAAATTTATTTCAATATTACAATTAAAAAAGAAAATGTCTGGCTGCGGTAACGTTTCAAACGTTACTCCAGCAGGAAATGTTTTTTTGAAATAACTAAAAAAGTTTAAGTGAAACAAATTTAAAAATGTGCTTAACAATTACAGAAGGGGAGCAACTAATTATCTATAAAGTTTAAATGACCATTTTCGACATTATTTTGCTGGGGTAACGCACACGA